AGTTCAAAAAATTTATTCTCTGAATTTTTTTTCTCTTTTTAAAAATAATGATTAACAATTCGATTGCTTTTTTGTTTTCTTTTAAACAATTTCTGTCTTTTAATATTTTTTATTTTAATTCGTGAGTTAAATAATTAATCGTTTGGTTGTAATTTTTGTGTTTATAAAAATTTTGGATATTATATCTTCTATTCTAATTCGATAAAAAAAAGTAATAAACTCACTACGTATAGGTTAAATACTGGAATTTAATGATAGCACTCAAAATATCGCGCATATCATAAAGTAAACAAAAAATGCGAAGGTAAAATTTTTTTTTGAATTTTAAAAATATGTCAATAGAATTCGAGTAACGTAAATCTTATTCAAACAAATGTTTTAATATACCCTAGGTGAAACATTTTTCTTTTTTATAATCAATATTTATTACTAATAGAGTGAATAATTCGTGTATTCTAATATTTCAAAAAAAAAAAAATTCTGTCGATAAATTACTAAAAATATTTCCAATTTGTTTAAATAAACGACTAATAGATAAGAAGTAACGTAATGAATAAATATTCTTTCTTCTTTTTAATACATTTTTTCCTTTTCGTTTTCTTGGATTTTTTTATTTTCTCTCACAAGAGGATAATAATTAAAAATTCATAATTTTCTCAGTGTCATGAATTTTTTTTTTGTATATGAGGAAAAATGAATTGAATATTTTCAATAGCAACAATTTATGTTTGCTCAATTGGTATTACAGTAATAAGCACTCTTTTTTTTTGAGTTTATTACATAAATAAGTGAAATAAGAAGAGAGTAAACCATGACCTAGGGTCTTGTGATGAGTATTCTGTTTATTTTTGCAAGTAATGCACGTTATGCAATGACAAATATAAGTGAAAAATTTCTATTAGATACAAAATTAAAGTTTAATTTACTTTAATTAAAATTTATGACTGAAAATCATAATAAAATTGCGAGAAATTTTTATTGACTAAAAGTTTCTGTTTTAAAAAATTATAGAAATTAAATTATATTTTTAAAAAAGTAAAATTTGTCTGACTAAAAATGTATTTGACTACTGAAAGGAAAATTCGGGCTAAATTAAAAGTTTTGCTCTGACTAAAAATGTAGTTTACTAGATTACTACTGAAATAAAAATTGTCGCTAAATTATAATTCTATGTCAGACTAAAATGTATTTTGCTACTAAAACGAAAAATACTATTAAACTAAATTTTTATGCCTAACTAAAAATGTATTTAACTACTGAAATCGTTACTAAAATCGATAAATAAATTTTATTTTATACGTTTTTTATGTAAAAATACCTTTTTGTTTCACTAAAATGTACTTTTACTATTGAAACAAAAATTATCGCTAAATTAGAAAATTCAGGTCTGACTAAAAATGAATTTAACCACTGAAACAAAAATTATCTCTTAATTAGAAAATTCAGGTCTGAATAAAATGCCTTTTACTACTGAAACAAAAATTATCGCCAAATAAAAACTTTATGTCCAATTAAAAATGTTTTTTACCCCAGAAAAGAAAATTGTCGCTTATGTCTGTCTAAAAATGGACTTAACTACTGAAAAAACCAATAAATAGATTTTATTCGTTAAATAAGAATTTTTTTGTCTGAACAAAACGTAACTTCACTTCTAATAGGAAACTTTTCAGCATTTTGGTAATTGTCGGATTGAAAGCAAATTTTACAATAACGGCAAATAATTAAAGTGAAATTAAACATTCGGTCTGATTAAAAATTGTTTGCACTACTTAAAATTGAATTTATAATAGATAAACCCTTTTGTCTGATCATAACTAAATTTTACTACTTATAATGTATTTTAAGTATTTGTTCTATTAATAATTCAAATATTTGTCTGAATGAAAAATAATTGATCTACTGCTAGAAAAATAAATTTTTTGTGTCTGACTAAAACCTTTTTCTACTACTAAAAGAAAAAAATAGACCTTTCCGGTCTGACTAGAAACTGTTTCTACTACTGGAACCAAAACTTAACCAAAAAAACAAAAACTTTAACCAAAAAGTTAAAATTAAAACCACTATGTCTGACTAAAGAATTCATTTATAGGTCAAAAAATAAGAGCGTTTCGTCTGACTAAAAATTGATTCTTCTACTGAGTTAAAAATAGAAATCTGTATGGCTAATGACTATGTCTGAGTAAAGAATTCATTGTTTATACCACTGGAACTAAAAGTAAAAATTTTTTGTCTTACTGAAAATTACTTACACTACTAAAACCAAAAATTAAAATTTTTCTGCTAGACTATAAAAGTGGATAAATTACTGAAACTAAGAATATAAAAAAAAGTTATTTTGGGAATTTACCTGTCGGTCTAAATAATTCTGCGTTACTACTAAAACAAAAAAGTAATATTATTTCGTCTGACCAAAATATTTTCCCACTACTTGGTTCGAAACTATTTTTTCTATTTCATCTGATAAAAATACTGAAACTAAAATAAAAAAAAAACTTTGATAGTGACTCCCATGTCTGACTAAATATTTCTTTTACTACTCAAACAAAAAGTAAAAAATTGTTTCATCAGATTAAAATGGTGTTTACACTACTAGATTAAAATCTAAAATCATTCTGTCTGACTAAAAATTGGTTATACTACTTAAACTAAAATTTTTAAAAAATGTATAAATTAACACCGCCATGTCTGACTAAGTAATTCCTTTACTACTGAAGCAAAAAGTAAAAATTCCTTTTGTTATAGATTAAAATATACTTTTAAAAAAAAAAAAAATTTTAAAAAAAAATTAAATAATTAATAAAAATTTAAAAATTTTAAATAATAAATAATAATAAAAAATAAAAAAAAAAAATAATTTAAAAATTAATAATTTAAAAATTAAAAAATTAAATTAAATTAAATTAAATAATATAAAATTTAATAATAAATAATAAATAATAAATAATAATAATAATAATAATAAATTAAATTAATTTAAATTTTTAAAATTTATTATTTAATTTAATAATTTAAAAATAATTTTAAATAATTAATTTAAATTTTTAAAATATACTTTTCGTCTACTGGAACAAAGACAAAAATTATTTTGTCTGACTAAAAATTACTTATTCTACTTAGAGAATTATAAAAACATTTAAATACTGACCCATGTCTGACTTAATAATTCTTTTACTACTGTAACAAAAAGTCTATTTTTTCGTCTTACTATAGACGGTTTATTCTACTGAGAGAAAAAACCCAAAAATGTTGTTCGACTCCAAAATTATATTTTTTTTAGTGTTAACTAAAATTTTTCTATAAATCCATTATTTTAAATAATTTTTCAAACAGTTTTTTTTTAAAAAAAAATTCATTTGTTTCAAATTCATTTGTTTTTAACTGAAATTCATTTTTAAATCATTTTTTTATTAGAAAATTCTACTTTAATTCAATTATTTAAAGACAAAAAAATAATTTATTGAATATTTGAATGTTTCTTAAAAATTGAATTCTCAGAAAGAATTATATCAACAAATATTTAATTACTTAAAGTCTTTTGACGAATTTTAATGAATTTTTTAAAGAATTTTTTCATGAAATTTGATCAAAATTGTATTATAAAAATAATTGAAATTCTGCGATGAGTATTCATGAGTATTCTATTTATGAAAATAATATAGAAATTCTATAGAATCGTTCTAGTGAAATTCTGTAGATTATTCACTAGAATTCATATAGAATGATTTTCTAGAATGATTCTAGTGGAATTCTATAGAACTTTTTCAGCTGGGCTGGAATAAAGACAAAAATTATTTTGTCTGACTAAAACTTACTTATTCTACTTAAGATTATAAAAAATTTAAATATTGACCCCATGTCTGACTAAATAATTCTTTTACTACTGTAACAAAAAGTGTATTTTTTCGTTTAACAATAGACGTTTTACAAGAAAGAAAAACCAAAAATTTTGCTTGACTAAAAATTTCTTACATATACTACCAGGAATGCATTTATAAAAATTACAATCAACTAAATTTCTATACCCTTACAAATTACTTCTACTATATACTGAAAACTACAAAAATTAATTATTTCAATATTTTTCAATTTATTTCCAAAATATACTTCTACAGAATATTCCGAATATTCCAAATATAATTTTCCTTCAATATTCCCGTAGTTTTTCCCAAAATATTTTCCTAATTTTCTCTCTCTAATTATTTCTAGTGCATTACTTTCCTTATAAATATAAATAATCACCTTTCGAATAAATTGAGGCCAAAACTACTATTAAAGAGGTTTAAAAAAGAGAAGGAAAAAACTAAACTATACCCACAAATTATAAACCAAAAAAAAAAGAGGAAGAAGTAAAACTTTTAATATACACGTGACACACGTCGCGTCATTTGTACCCGTTTGTATCCTTAAATTAAATGAAAAAGTTTTTAATAAATACACTCATCTATCAAATAGAAAAAAAAATTTATGTATATATATAGTTACGCTATAAAGTATATAGTTACATATATATATATATATATATGTTCACGAAATAAGCCAACTAGAGAAAAGTACAACCCACGTGGAATTCCAGTGTGCTATCGAGGGAATTCCACGTGTCTATTTTCACCACTCTTGTATCGTTACGACAACAACAAAAGCATTGACGGAATAATAACAATATTATAAACGCCGCCTTAATCGTCAAAGAGTGGGGGAAATATTGCCCCGTTCATGTCTGTCTTTATCACGCCTCTCTCTCTCTCCCACTGGTTTTCTCTCTCTCTCACTCTCTTTCTCTCTCTCACTTATTTTTTCTCTCTCTTTCTTACTCGCTTTCTTTCTCTCTCTCACTTATTTTCTCTCTCTCTTTTTCGCTTTTTGTCTCTCTCTCTCTCTCGCTCACTATCAGAGTGACAAAGAGAGAGAGAGAGAGAAAATATCAGAGAGAGAGAGAGAGAGACAAGTTCTCCCAGTGGTGGGGAGAGCACTTTGAAAGTAAAACGGGGGAAAACAGCTGTTGGGAAGATAGAAGGAAGGAAGTGGTCTTGGACACGTATATACTGTTCGATCAGACACGCGACTTAAGGACTCACTCGCGAGCTCGTGCCTCGTTAAGAAATGCACGTTGTTTCTTTTTTTATCACTCTCTATCGATAAATATAGAGATATATATACATACATACAAATATACACTCTACACTGTATATAGTTTTATGAAATCGACGCCAGAGTTTCATTTCTCGATGATTGAAAAAAAGAAGAAGAAAAATACTGAATTACATAATATAATTCAGTCACGTGGGTGTGTTATAAAAGTCTAGGAGAAGAGATCATTTTTCCCCGTCAGTACTCAAATGTACTTTGAGCCATTGAAAACCGTTTTTTTTTTTTTTTTTCTTTAAACTTAAAACACCGACGAACTTTTAAAGTCTTCTCTCTATAGGAAACAAGTTCTCTCTGGACGTGAAGGGAAGAAATTCTTTATTGAACACAAGAGGATTTTAATAAAGAAGGAAAATTGCTTCAACCGGGAAAATTATATACAAGGAGGAAGGCAAATTTCGAATCAGTGAAAAATTTGTAAAAAATTTGTGAGAAAGAAGAGGAAACTTTGTTAAAGAGGAAAATTTTCTGAAGGAGACAACTTTATACAGACAACTTTACACAGACAACTTTAGAAAGAAGGGAATTTTACAAGGAGGAAAATTTTCCGAAGAAGACAACTCTTTTTATAGAGAAGGAAATTTTGCAAAGAGGAAAATTTTTATGAAGAAAATTTATAAAGAACTTATAAAGAAAATTTTACAAGGAGAAAACTTTATAAAGAAGAGCAGTTCATAAGGAAAAGAAGAAGAGAAAGAAAAGAGGAGAAAAAGAGAGAAAGAAGACGAAATTTTCCCCAAGAAGAAGAAAAAAATTTTCGTCACAAAACACAAAAAAAGAAGAATGTTGAGAAATTTGGTGAATCATCAAAAACACGTGGTTGAATTAAATGAATCATTGTGCATTATTCGGATAATAAAAAATCGTCATCATCGGCGATATTTATTATTATTATCGAAAATTCGTAAAAATCGCGCTCTAAATTATTATCATCATCATCAAGAAATAAAATTGAGAAGAAGTGTAACAAATTTGGGCGCGAGTGCCTCTTTCAATTCACGTGTTCAATGTGTCTAGGGAGTACGCCATCTAGAAAATTTGCAACTTCAGGTTTTAGAGTTTCTATAGTGCGATTCACGACAACGACGACCACGAGCAGCGACCGACGAGAAGGAGGGTTTTTCGGAGCAAAGGCACAATACAAGCGGCACGATACAGCATCGACGACGCAGGTTTCAAGTTTCAAGAGAGGAGAGACTGCTTTTAGTGTGTGAACGTCATTTGTATTGACGCGTCGTGAAAATTAATAAAAGAAATTTATTTTTTTTCTTTCGGTTTTTATTGCTTTTTTTAATTTCATTTTTGATTTTGTTTTTTGTTTTATTTTTTTTTTTTTGAGTTATAGTGCAGTGTTTTTTCTGTGATTATAATTATTATAATACATATATATATCTATACTAGACACACCGGCGTGGACAAGTATAATATTTATTTTAATTATAAACAAAATAGAAGAGGAGATATATATTTTTTAATAATTTAGTGACAAACAAAAACGGAATTTTTCTTTTTTGAAAGAAGAAACAAAGAAGAAGAAAAAATGAACGTCGTCGAGCCTGAAAATGTATTTGGTCTAAGACCTCCCGTCCTCATGGTGATTCTCGGATCCCTTGTACTTGGCGGACTCTTTTTCGCAATTGGCCACATCGTCATTAAACTGGGTCGTCGAAACAAGAAAGAAGATGCCACCAAAAGTAAGCAATCAATTGCATCATCTTATCTTTATTTATCATACAAGTCACCATATTCTTGAATATTAGATGCAAATTTACCGAAATTTTAGTTTATCTATGTATGTGCACAAGCACAGACACACAAGAACACAAGCATGAAATAACAGAGACTCTGGCATAAAATGCTCGCAATATATATAGTGTTTCAAGCACCGAAAATGGCTCAAACATAAATGGTTCGAAAATTCATAGTAGAATATTTAATAATAAAAATTATAATATTCCCAAAAATAGAAGAGAAATAGAAAAATATAAAATACAAAAAAAGCTAGAAAAAAAACAATAATTAAATATACTGTAATAATTTATTTTCATTATTTTATTAATTTCATTATAAAAGACCTGCCCTTTCGTACAAAAGTAAATAAATAATATAATTAAATTATAATATTACCTATTAAAAATAAAAACAAAAAAATATTTTTAAAAAATAATAAAATATACTGTAAATTTAATATTTATTTCAATGCAAACGGGACTTGACCTTTCGCAAAAAAAGTGGATAAATAAATAAAATAATTAAATTAATAACAATATAAACATAAACGAAAAACAAAAAAAATACTGTAAATTTATTTATTTATTTCAATATAAACGAGACTTGCCCTTTCGTAAAAAAGTATAATAAATAAAATAAATAATAATAACATTATAAATGTAAAACAAAAAATATTTTTGACAAATAATACAATATCATACTGTATTTATTTATTTATTTATTTATTTATTTATTTATTTATTTCTTTATTTATTTCTTTATTATTCATGTCAATATAAACGAAACTTGACCTTTCGCAAAAAAAGTAGATAAATATATAAAATAATCAAAGCAATAATATTATTATAATAATATAAAACAAAAAAATAATTAAAAATAATAATAAAATATTATACTGTAAATTTCTTTTGATTTCTTTATTTATTTCAATACAAAATTGGTCCTGACCTTTCGCAAAAAAAGTAGATAAATAAATAAAATAATTAAATTATAATACCTAATAATATTATAAATATACACAAAAAATATTTTAAACAATATTGAAATATGATTCTGTAAATTTATTTCATTTATTTATTTACTTCAATGTAAACGAAACGGAACTTGACCTTTCGCAAAAAAGTAGATAAATGTGTAAAATAATTAAATCAATAATAATATAAATATAAAAAAAAGTCATAAATATAGTAATGAGACTAATAATAATAATGAGAGTATGATAATTGTTATAGTTAATAAAATATTGTAAGCCATTAATATATAAAGTATAATATTAAAAAATAATAGTACTAGTAGAATATACCATATACTTCTTTTATTGCACTGTATCATAATTTAGTTATTTATTAATATATTAATAAACATATAATATAAAATTAAAAAGAAACCAATACTTTATTTTAGACCCGAAAAAAATTTAAGATTTTATAAAAATAATACAATTCTAATTGTTCGGATACTAATTACTAATGAATAATAATGAATAATAATAAATAATAATAAATAATAATGAATAATAATGAATAATAATGAATAATAATAAATAATAATAAATAATAATGAATAATAATAAAAAATAATAAATAATAAAATAATAATAAAATATAGTGTGCAATAGTAAGTAAATAAATGAATAAATAAATGAATGAGTGGGACGGAATAAATATTGAAAAATTAGGTAAAATACATAAACATTTAATGATGCATTATTTAGTTTATACTTATTACCAAAAAATGTTGAACGTTCAAATGAAGGAAAGATTTCTATCTATAAAAATATTTCTCAAATTTACTACAAATTATGAGAAAAAGATTGATTTGATTCAAATAAACGATAACTTGTCTATTATCAAAAAGATATTTACTCGAATGAAATGATTTTTATTTAAATCAAATAAATTGTATATTTGTCCCAAAATTTAAATATTTGAACCAAATAGCATACATATACAAATACAAAAATTAATATCAATCAAAATTATTTGATACAAATAAATGTTTATTTCATAATAAATAAGTAATCGTATTTTTGAATCAAATAATTCTTTTTTCCTCATAATGTTTCTGAAAAGGAAAAATGAATCAAATATTTACTTAGTTAAAGATTAATTTTTTAATAAAGAAAAAAATGTAATATAATTAAAATTAACAGAAATTAAAAACAACAGAAGAAAAAAATCATCTATATATTAACAGAAATAAATAAAAATTTAAAAAATTAAAAATAATATCGAGTGTAGAATAGAATAATTATAATTAATTGAATTCAACTAATTGAAGTGAAATAGAAAATCAATTTAATTGAAATTGAAAAAATATTGAACTAAATTGAAAATAAATTGAATTGAATTGAAAATCAATTGAATTGTACAGAGAATCAATTGAATTGAATTGAAATCAATTTAACTTTATTGAAATTGAAAATCTATTGAATTGAATTGAAAATCAACTGAATTGAATATTGAGATTGAAAAGAAAATTCCATTCAATTCAATTGAAAATCACTTGATCTTAATTGAAAATCAATTGAATTGAATTGAAATTGAAAATAAATTGAACTTGATTTAAAATCAATTAAATTCAACTGAAATTAAAATTATCAAATGTGAAAGAAATTAGCAATTGAAATTGAAATTGTTGAAAATTATACATGAATTGAAATTGAAAATCGATTGAATTGAAATTGAAAATAAAATTTTGCATATAATATAAAATTCTTAAGCAAAGTGGAATGGTTATAGAATACTATAAGATGGGGAACTTATCAATTGACAGTATATACGTTTCAAATGATGCAAGGTATATAGGGTTTTTATCAATAAAAGATAAATTCTCATCGTTTATCTCACTTAATTTATTGTACAGTAATTTATTTCTTATTCTTTCTATCATTTATAAACAGAGATGCAATTGTTATTATACACTTGATATTTGTTTTTAATAACATTTCAATTCTTGTTCTCTTTTTTGATTCTCATTTGTATTAAAAATAGACAATGTTCCATTGTTATCAATTTCTTCTTTTTCTTTTTTCTTTTTTTATACTTTGAAAATATTCATTCTTTCTGTAATTATTCGATTTTCTTTTCTATTCTTTATTTATATTAATATAAGTAATTTTCTATTTAAATATTTGATTTTTTTTTCTTTTTGATGTTTTGCTAAATTTTTACTGTACTTTTTAACATTTCCATTTATTATAGTTGAAAATAATTGTCAATTTTCTTTTTCTTAGTATTACTTTTATTTATTTATATTTTATATATTTATTTATTTCATTATTTATTATTCATTAATTCATTCATTTATTTATTTATTTAAGCCTTGTCTTTTTTAAGAAAGGATTATTTTTACCTAATAATCACCTACTGCGCATTTTTTATTATCTATTTAGTACTATACTTATTTATTACTATTTTTTATGTTGTCATTTATATTGTCTACTTCTTACTGACTCTATTTATGATTTTATTTTTCACTTTTTGCGTATTTTATTTCTTCTCTGCTTCCTAGTCTTCTTTTTTCTTTAAGTAGAATAAACATTGAAAAAAAGATTTTTTATACATCAAAAATTATTTATTATAAATATAAAAATCGCATTTTTTATTAATTTACGTATTAATTAATTTATAAATTAAGTAACATTCTTTATTAACTAAATAACATTCTTTATTAACTAAATGACATACCTTATTAATTAAACAACATTTTTTTCTAAATAAAAGAACCTTCTTAATTTATAAAAATAAATAAAAGACCTTTTTGTAAATGAAAATCATCTATAAAAAATTTTTTCTAATTAAAAAATCGTTGTTGTAAATAAAAAACTTCAGTAAAAAAATTTTTTTGTAATTAAAAAAAGCCGTTTTTGTGATTAAAAAAATGTTTTATAAATACAAAAAATAAATTTCCTAATTGGAAAATTTTCTTTATGAAGAAAAGAAGTTTTTTTATTATGAATAAACAAATAAATAAATAAATAAACTAAATAGAAGAAAAATTATTTTATAAAGGGAAAAAATGTTTTTTGTTGAAAAAAGAAAATTTTATTGAGGAAATGCTCCAAAAAAAAAATTTTTTTTTGGAGCATTTCCTCAATAAAATTTTCTTTTTTCTATATATCAAAATATAATGTCTAAATTACGTTACAATTGAAGTTTATATAATATAATAAGTGAAAGAAAGTTTTTTTTATTGTAATTAGTTTTAGAGGAGACAGTGGATGAAAATTTAATAGAAAAATGTTTGTTGAATGGCACGCGATTTAACACGTGGTTTTTAGAGAACACGCGTTCACTTCTCACCGGTCTTCCAAGCGTTGCCATGGAACAGTGAATGTATACGTAGAAATACTACTATAGCTTCAATTCGATGCAACATTGAGTGAGAGACGTTCTTCGCTAAAATAGGGTCTTCAAACCCCGTGTGCGCTTTAGACAACAATTGAAATTCTTAAAAAAAAAATTTTTTTTTCTAAATTATTTTTTTAAAAAACAAATTTTTTCATAAAATACAAAATGAAATTTTATTTATTTTTTTCTATTAAAAAATCGATAATTTACAAGTAGTTTTTTATTACAAAAAAAAAAATTAAAAAATTAATAATTTTCAAGTATTTTTTTATTATGAAAAATTAATAATTTTATTATTTATTTATTAAATTAATAATATTTAATTAATTTATTTTTGATTAATATTTTTATTAATTGTCAAGAAATTTATCAATCCTCCAAGTCAAATATTAAAAAAAAAAAAAAAAAAAAAAAAAAAAAAAAAAAAATATTTGACTTGGAGGATTGATAAATTTCTTGACAATTAATATTATCTTTTACCGAGTGATAAATTCTACTACTTAATAATATTTTTATTATTGTTTAATATAAAAAATTTAAGGGTTTTATTACGAAAAATAATTTTTTATTATTAAAAATTAACCATCGTTCGATTATTTTCTTCCTAATTG